CAAAGAAGCTTATGCTCATGCAGAAGAAAATATGAATCAAAATGCTGATAGAAGGAAAGAAAGACATGACAAGAAACCAACAATCATTGAAGATAAAATAGATGTTGGAAGAAAAGTCTTAACAAGAAGGAGAACACTTGGAAGAAACAAGATACAAGACTATTATGAAGATTCTGTATACAAAGTGATTGAAAGGAAAGGAGACACATATACAATTGAGAATGAAGACTCACTGAGGAAAACTGTAAATAGAGAAGATTTGAAAGAGTTGCCAGAAGGGATCAGAAACAAAAAGCTCCTTAATGAGGATACAGCTGAAGAAGTGCCTCAACTGAGAAGGTCTAAGAGACTTTTAGATCAACAGAAGTAAATTGAGATTTCACTCTGATTTCTGCGCGTTACTGTAGTTAAGATAGTAGCTACAATTTAAAACATTTTTCAAAATCATGACTGTAGTGGGATCTATAATTTTATAAACGACCTATTTTTTGGTCGTGGTTGTTAATTAGGGGAGGAAATACCAATCTAATAGCGTTTAGAGAATTATTCATCTTATAGACAGATATTTTTGAATCATTGGATTATTTTAACTTATGTTTTTGATGTTTGTATTAAATTTTCTTATTCATTTAAGATATTGTACATTTATTATATCAGTTTACTGTGGCCGTGTTTAAGGTTCATTTTATTGAAATGAAGACGAGTCCGCGTGGATGTGACATGCACTTTTATAAATACTTTTAAATATTGTTGGTACAACTGATTATTCCTACCCAATGTATACTACTTCTCAACACAGCACATACTGAGACTGTACTGATATGCCACCTTTAAAAAGGTTTAGTAACTACTGTATCACATGATCTAGGTCACATGATCATATACTTTAGTGTTGGGCCTGCTTTTGAATCTTCTGGATGTGGTAAATATTTTTCCATACTTTGTTCAATTTCTAAACAAGTTATATTGTCTCAGTATATTATTCATATAGTTAGTTTTAAAGATTAATATATAATCTCTATGTTGAAATAGGTATTTTTTATATACCGTTTGTAATTTTGAAGTTATTAGGAGTTTAAGGAAAGACTCAAGATATTTTGCAAATTTCAACATCAGCCATATTGGATTTCATTCCTTTGTTTACATTTTCACTTAGGTTCAAATGTACATTTTTAGGTTAGTTCCCTAGCTGACTTACTTTACCATATGCCCACACTCACAGTCCAAGTAGCTTTATTGTCAGGTAAAATTCCACTCTTGTTATTTGATTTATATTTGTAGTATGTGTAAGGTCAATTCTACATTTTGTAAGGTCAACTTGACCCTATTGACCATATTGAACAAGTCATGCTTCATGTGTTTTGATGTTTATATAATGCTTCAGGCATTGTGTGGGGAAATAAAGATTCATTCATATATTACTTAATCCCCATCACAAATATGGTTTTATCAATTAAAACATTAAACATTAATCTGCATTTTAATGACATTTTATTTTATTGCTACATATCAACTTATGGTGTGAATTTTATATTTTTAGGCATTCCACCAACAGTTCTGCACTGGCAGACTGGTCACTCTTTTGTAATGTTTTACATTTTATGAATTAAGGTAGTTCCACACTTTCATGGATTAAGGTAGTTCTACACTTTCATGGGTTAGGGTAGTTGACACTCTTTTGTAGGCTAATTTACATGTTAAGGTAGTTGTCACTCTTTTGTAATTTATCTTTTAAGGTAGTTGTACAACATATACATGATCAATACATGATCAATAAGGAAGTTGACTGATATAATATATGATATAATATAAAATATTTTATAAATTTCTCTTGTTTATTTATTTTGGACAAAGCGTCCCTCACACATACATCATGTGTGTACATTAACTGTCGAATATATGCCGACTTACATTTTTATAAATATCCACAGTTAACTCAAATCATCAATTCTCGAAACGGTTTATCATATAACCTGGTGAGTTTAATGTTTCATTTTAATTTATAATTATGGTATCAGATTTGAGTATGATATAGGCCGAGGCTTAAACGAAGCAATAAAATTACGTGAAAACTTTTGTGAAAATTCGAACGATTTTTCAAGAATCCTCTTTCAAAGTGTTACAAAAGTGCTCCCCGGGAGTAGAAATTTCGTCTTGTGTAATCAAAATTATAGCGGGTGGTTTGAATTTTTGTTTGAGTTTATTGCTTACATCTATAAATTTAAAACCATATCGCCTAATTAAGAGCTACGTGCAGAGTTTGGCGATCGATCATTATAAAAGGCTAAATATTGTGCAAAAACAGGAGTTGACACGCTTTCATTTGGAAATGAAATTTCCTACATAATCGTCGGCTCATGTTTAAAAGTCATGAAAACAAGGTTGAACATAAAACATTGACCCAGTTACTGTCTATTTAGCATGGGATCACTAAGGGAAATATTATTAATGACTTAAATTGTTTACAATTAAGTTGTATTCCAAGACACTTATCAATTTAGAAATGCAAAATGTTCAATTTTGTTTTTCAATTATGAAAAATGGCACCTGTAGAAAACAGTGTTTTCAAAATTATTTAAAAACGGAGATATTTACTTATGTAACATTCATTGGCATGTGTCAGGGAGTAAATAAGAAGAATATGTATTTGATTCTATGTCTTGTTCCCAAAGGAGTTTGTTAAGAAGCGGTATATCTTAGCGTACTTTTATAATCCCGAACTCAAACATTTCGAATACTTATTTCGAGAACGCTTTGTTGAGAATGGATTCGAGATGTACTCAAAATTAATACGTTAAAATGTGTATTACCATCTTAATAACCACCTCACAAATTATTTTGGAAATCAAAGATGTACGATTTTTGAGATTTTTATTTTCGAATGTTAACTTACTTACTTGACTTGACTGAACAGTGGAATGCGAAAAAGTCTAGTCTAATTAATGAGGGATAGCAATAGTTAATTAAGCAGGCCTATATTTTACAATCGAGAGTGTCATTTTTGCCTTTTCTTGAAAGTAGTATTATGGCATTATTACTATATATTAATCTTATCATTACAAATGCATATAACTAATTAAAAGTTGATTTTGAGATTAAATGTGTTATTTTTGGGGTAAATCACGGGTTAAGGCTATCATTGTTATAGAAAAACCTTTAATCCATTGATGCTTGATTGGTAGTCAAAGTCAATCACGCTACTTTGTCTAACTTAATCAAATGATGCTTGATTGGAAATAACTTATTCGCTTTTCCTACCCTCATCGAATGATTTTTGATTTAGAGAAAGCCACCCGCTTTGTTTACCTTTTAATGATGTCTGAATGATGAAAATCAACCTGGTTTGCCTTATCTTATTGGTAGTGGTTTGTTTTGCTACATGATTCTAGTGGAGAAGAATTGATTTTGCTTTCAGGGAGAAACGAGATAGAAAGAGGTAGAGTCATTGCAACTTCATTCGTCACTTGAGTAGACCAACCGTTACGTCATGTAGACAGGTAAACAGGGACGACAATATTTATCTGTGTGAATGATAGTGAACTATTGTGTTCCCCTATTCCATGACCTTCCAAGAATTGGCAAGAGACTCGGGGAAACTACAGGATTTATCCTACAAGTCTTCTAATTGATACCTGATACATATTGTGTGTTGTAAACAGGCAGAGCCATTTAAAACTCAGATCTCTTTTTAACAAGAAGCTGACCATGGCATCAATTATATAAAGATATATGCACAAGATGCGTGATTGTATAATTCATTAAAGATCACTGATAAACAGTTACTCTGGCAAAACTAGAAAGAACACACATTCCAACGTCCATATCGATCAACAGTAGCCGTGAATGAAAACATTGTGAGGAAAACTATGAAGTAAACACGTTGGATACGTTTTTGTGTTTGATACCACATTTATCAGATACTTAAATGAGTAACTGATGTAAAAATTTTCGACTACACCAGCATAGAAATTTATATACAGGATTTTTATATGTATACAGGAATTTTATTTTTTGACCATATAGAAATTTCTATACAGGCGATCTAGCAAAATTATTTTATTACTGAATTAACATTTTCGACTACACCAGCATAGAACTTTCTATACAGGATATTTATGTGTATACGGGAATTTTATTTTTTGAGCATATAGAAATTTCTATACGGGCGATCTAGCAAAATTATTTTTCCTGCGCCGCATAGAAATTTCTATGCAGCATTTCGATTTTCATTTATCAATCTTATCCCTATAGAAATTTCTATACTGCAACCATAATGTACATCTACACCCGCATAGAAATTTCTATACGGCGAGAAATGTTTTTCTAGTAACATAACTAGTATTTTTCGACGGCCTACACATAGAAATTTCTATACAGGTATTCAGTTTTGAATTTTCTGCTTTGTCGGTAAAGAAATTTCTATGCCGATTACCAAATATTCATCAATAACAAAATTAATATCCCAGCCTCATCCGCATAGAAATTTCTATACGAAAAGTTAACGGAGTCTTGTATAGAAATGTCTATCCGAGGATAGTGTATTTGAAAATCTAGTTCGAAGTTACATAGAAAATTCTATACGATGAAATGAAACACAATTTTACTAGACATTAACATGAATATGTATTGATAAAATGATTTTAACTTTATCTGGTTTGCTGAAAAATTCATATACTTTGTATAAATATTGTAAATCTAATATGATAATAAAACATTGACGGTTGAAATACATGAAATGCACTGCTGTTTTTACGTTTTGGGGTTTTCAAAAAGGGACTAAACGGTTCATTCTCTTTTTAAATGGTCACGACTTCTGAGTGCTCTATTAATATTAAAGGTGTAGTTAATGACAATCAAATCGAATGAGAACCATGGCCGTCAACGGTATCTGTCCTTTAGCAATTATAAAATCTGTACATCACTAACTGTCCGGGAGATAAACCCCCAGTGCAACTTTAAAAAGCTAGAGTAGACTATAGTATTAAAGCTGGAACACATACTTTAGTAGATCTATGGAATTCCTCAGGGCGATAAACATAGCAGAAGAATCGTCGTCAACTAAGCCTCTTTTAATGCCTTCATCTGTGATGAGCGGTGTATCTACGAAGCTGGGGCAGAGAACATTAAATCGTAGTCCTGATTTGATGGAGGATGGACTCAACTAAAATTGTTAAGTTATATAATTGAAAATGTAAGTTGAACATAGTCTAAACTGAAGCGAAATCACAGCTCCAACATTTCTAAATTTAAATATATATCGGTTGTGTTTTTGATTATATTACATACATCCCAAGTACATACATTAATAAAGCATAATTATGCAATATCTTTGTTTATATCTGTGAATGCACAGGGTGTTTCAAAAAATGCAACCCACCTTTTAAGTTATAACCCTGTAAATATACGTTTTTTATTTTTCAGGTGAAAAGAGTCCATTCAAAGTTCTTCCAGAAAACATTGATAACTTTAGCCAGTCATAAGTAAACGATATACCATAGTCGATTGAAGTCATGACCTATTGTGTTAAGAAATATTTAAAAATCGGTTCTTTCAAAAATACACAGAATGAATTTAAAGGATTTGAAATTTAGAGCATTAGGAATACTCAAAAGTCTAAATACCAAAAGAGAGAGACTTAAGAGAGAGAGAGAGAGAGAGAGAGAGAGGCGCACTCGGGGATGTCTCGCAGCGTAAGAACACGGCAGAACATTGATGCCGCCTTGGATTCAGTCAGTCGAAAGAAGTCATTGAGATGGTGGAGCCAAGAACTAAGAATACCAGTTCGTCTCTTGATAGAATACCAGTCTCTTGATAGAATACCTGCAAGTGTATCCCTATACTATAGGATTCAATTAAAACAGAAATCGACTGAAAGAGATATAGAAGCCATGGTTGCCAGGTGTGAGTGGTTTGCTCAAAGAATAAAGAACATTAGAGATTTGCTAGGAGACGTATGGTTTAGTGCAGTGACGAAGCGCACTTCCAGTTGAAAGGTCATGTAAATAGCAAGAACTATGTTTTGGGTAACCATGCTCCTGATGAAGTGGCTCAAATAACATTTCATTGTGCTAGATATACTTTACCGTATGCTACGAGTGAAATCATTGGACCATACTTTATTGAAAATGAGGAACAAATTGTGACCATAAATACAGAGCATTATATTTTTGGGTTCCAGGAAGAAGGAATGGTATTGATAAGCCAGGTCCAACAAGATGGTGCTACACCACATACATCCAGCAACACATTGGAGTAGCTTCAAAACCACTTTGAAGATCGGTTCATCAGCCGTTAGACAGATAATAACTGGACACGCGATTCCCAAGACCTGAACATCCCCCCACCTCCTCTCCGATTTTTATCTGTAGTGTTGCCTGAAAGATATTGTGTATGCCAAAAATCCTCGAACTATTGCAGAGCTAGATATAACATAGGAGGTAAGAGTCATACCAAGGGATGAATGCACACGTGTTGTCGACAACTTCGCCAAACGCATGCAAGTCTGCTTCCAGAGACGAGGCTGCCATTTGGAGCATGTTTTCTAAATGGTCGGGAAATAGGCTCTACACACCCTATAGTGTAAAACTTTTGTCGACTTTAAGAAGATTGAACAAACTTTATAATATTTCAAATGTCAAATTCTTCTATTGGTTAAAAGGAATTGCATTGTTAGGTCCGTTGCCGTTTTTATAAAACACCCTGTACATGCTAAATGTACATCATATAAAACCAAGTGGGAGAGGGCCTATGTTTTTGATTTGATTAAATGGATTTAAAAGAAATGGAATGGTATGTCATAATATAGAAATTGAACCCTAACAAATGTTAATTATTGCACTTACAGCCATGCTCCGAACGAAGGCGACAAGACCATGTTTAGTTGCTGAGTAAACTGGTGCTTGGCCGCTTGGTACTAATCCTATAATAGACGAATATTTGCTTAGTTTCTCTGGTGCCAAAAGGGTTAAAAGGAAGGAAGATTGGAAACGACCGTTTTCGAAAATAATTGCAATATGATTCTTAAATTGAATTGAACGCTACGATTCCCCACGTCGCTTCCGAATATTCATAGATACAAAATTCAAAATGTTCTGGGAACGCTGCCCCGTGCTTTTTATGTCAGCGTCAAAGTTAAGTCATAGAAATATACAATATTTCAAACCTGACCACAATTTTTAGATTAAAAATACTAAATAAACTATATTCTCGCTATGAATGTTCATCTCTCTGGTAGTAATGTACAAAGTTGTTGATTTTCTTTCTCAGAGATATTTCTTTTTCTTTTTGACGTTTCGTAGGATGTCCATCCATTATTTCAGTTTGATTCAAATATAATTTTATTTCTGAAGAAGTAGGATGGACATTCTACGAAACGTCAAAAAGAAAAAGAAATATCTCTGAGAAAGAAAATCAACAACTTTGTATATTCTCTCTATATGTATACAGGCTAGGCAATACAAATGGGAAACTTTTACCTAGAATCGATGCAGTAAATATCATAATACCACTTTTTCCTACACTGTTTAATCCCATATATTCAGCACCGACGTAGGCACAGCGAATCTGTGCTTCCTAAAATAAAGCATGACCATGTACAATTTGTCATATTATTGATACATAGGTATATGCTCCATACAGGTGAGAGTTCCCCGGGAATAAGTTGATGTACTGTGTAATCATTTCGTCCAGTGTAATTTATACATTGGATTACGTCATGAATAACTAATCAGTTTAGAACTCAAATATTGTTATGTAAAGTTGACAATATATAAGACATTTGTGTTCACTGAAGCAGAGAACAAGAAATCGTTCACGGTTGTAATGGATAAATTCGACAGATACTTCACGCCAAAGGTGAATGTGATCGAAGAAAAGAAAGCATTTTATCACATGAAACAGTCGTCTGAGGACAATGTAGATAGTTTCATACGTAAGTTATACGATCAAGCCGACATTTGCTCTTTCGAAAATACTGAGCGTGAACTTTTGCACCAGTTTGTAAACGGTATGAATAATAAAGACTTATCTTAAAAGGTAAAGATAATGGACTATAGCAAGTTGACATTTGCCAAAGTGATAGAAATGGCGCGAATCAGAGAGCACGTCGCACCCGTGCATCTGAAGTCGGAAACCCCGCAGAATCTGGATGACGTCACCAGGTCTAGGAGGTCGAAAAGGTCAACAACACAGTCCAAGGGACAATCACAATCAGCTGCATTTAAGTGTAAGAAGTGTGCGTTAACACACAAGCCTAGGGAGTGTGGTGCATATGGTAAAACATGTTTACAGTGTGGTGGCATGAACCACTACAAACGTTGTTGTAGCAAACGCTACCAAAAGTCAATGGATAAGCGCAAAAACATTCATGAAATACTTGATTGTGATAGTGATCAACATGAAAATGACGATTATTACCAGGCATTCATTGGCGAGATTGTCTGTGACGATATGTACCCGGTTGGTGATATTCCTAAGCCGAGATTCCAGCATGATGATGAGCCTACACAAGATTTTCGTGTTGACGAGGTCGGTGTGATTGACATCAACAACAAGGAACCACCATGGGTGAGTGAACTCAGGGTAAATGGTAAACCAATCATGTTTAAACTGGACACAGGTGCCGATGTTACTGTTATGCCCCAGTCTGTGTTTAAGTCTTTTGATAAACCCCCTGTTCTTAAACCTTCCAAGGTCCAACTTAAAAGTCCAGGTGGTAATGTAGCCTGTGTTGGGACAATTGACTTAGGCAACAAACGTTTTAAGACAGATATACATGTAGCTGACATGACCTCAGACATGAGTCTTTTATCCAGGGAATGTGCCATCGGGATGGGTTTGGTTCGGCGTGTTCAGTCAATTGAAACATCATCTGAAATGTATGGTGAGATTGGTAAAATTAAAACTGACCCTGTCAAGATAAATTTGAAGGATGATGCCCAGCCGTACAGTGTGAGTATTTCGCGAAGGGTAAGTTTGCCTATGATGCCACGCGTACAAGATAAATTGAAAAAACTTGAGAATTTGGGTGTCATTTCAAGAGTAACAAAGCCAACAGAATGGTGTGTCCCTATGGTTGTTGTTGAGAAGAAGTCAGATCCACAACCTAGAATATGTGTAGATCTCAGAAATTTGAATAAATCTGTGAAAAATGAAAAATTCATGTTGCCTTCTGCTGAGGATTTGTTTCACAAAATGCAGGGCTCTACAGTGTTTACAACTCTAGATGCGTCCAATAGTTTTTGGGGATTAGTGTTAGATGAAGAAAGTTCATGTTTAACAACTTTCATGACCCCATTTGGTTGATATAAATTCAACCGCGTTCCGTTTGGACTTTCATTCGCGAGTGAGTTGTATCAGCGTGTAATGGCCGGAATTTTGGAGAACCATGAAGGTGTTGAAAATATCATAGATGATTTGATAATCCATGGCAAGGACAAAGCTGAACATGACGGGCGTTTGGAACGTGTTATGCAGACACTCAAGAAGGTAAGAAACAAGCTTAATAAGAAGAAATGTAAATTCCGTCAGTCGCGCGTTACTTTCTTCGGACATACAGTTACGAAAGATGGAATTAGTCCGTCAGATAGCAATGTGCAAGCTATACTGAAGCTCACTGTACCTACAAATGTCACAGAATTACGGAGATTTCTGGGTACAGCCAATTATCTTGCAAAGTTTATCCCGGGTATGGCTACGATAGCTGCCCCATTGTATGCGCTACTGCGGAAAGAGGTAAGTTTCACATGGGAGTTGGCCCAGCAGGAATCCTTTGACAAAATTAAGGAATTGGTCACCCGTGCGCCCGTGTTAGCATTCTATGATCCGAATAAACCTACAATTGTGAGTGCGGACAGTAGTACAGTAGTTATGGTATGGTATGTTTGTTTCAGGAACATTCAAATGGCCTCAAGCCAGTCTGTTACGCTTCGAGAAGTCTTAATGATAGTGAGAAAAAGTACGCACAGATAGAAAAAGAATGCCTCGCGTCGGTATGGGCAACTGAACATTTTGAACGGTTTCTCATTGGTCTTGATCGATTTGAAGTATTGACAGATCACAAGCCCTTAGTACCATTGATTAATATCAAAGACTTAGACAGAGTACCGATTAGATGTCAAAGATTGTTGATCAGGCTGATGCGTTTCAATGCAGTTGCTAGATATGTTCCAGGTAAGGACATGCATGTGGCAGATATGCTTAGTCGGGATCCAATAGAGGTAGGTAAATCTCTTGATACGTCTCTAGAAGATATAGAGCAGTATCTCGCGTCGATCGATAGTGCTAGACCGATTGCGTATTACTTGCTTGAGAAAATCAGAGTAGAAACAGATGTAGACATTGTATTACTGCGTGTGCGTGATTATGTAACGCATGGATGGCCAGAAAATATCAAGTCCGTTCCCCCGGTTGTTAAGCCATTTTTCCCCGAGCTGAGTGCTTTGAGCCTATACAATGGTTTAATAACTCATGGAAATAGAGTGGTCGTACCAGTAGGTATGCAAAACTTGATTTTGAGTAGAATTCATGATGGTCACCTTGGTATTACAAAATGCCGGAGTAGAGCCAATCAATCAGTTTGGTGGCCAGGTATGAGCTCACAAATAAAAGTCATGATAGAAAAATGTGAACATTGCCAATCAATCAAAAGTACACAGAGGAAGGAACCTTTGATGCCTACAGTTCTTCCCAAGCGTCCATGGTCCAAGATAGCTGTGGATTTATGTGAGTATGAAAATTGCCACTGGCTAGTAGTGGTAGATTATTTTTTGCGTTATCCGGAAATTGCTAAAATGAACAAAAACACAACTGCAAAAAGTGTCATAGACAGATTGAAGATTATTTTTGCAAGATTCGGTGTTTGTGAAACATGCATTTCAGATAACGGTCCGCAATTTACCAGTGCAGAGTTCAAAGAATTTGCGGAAAGGTACAATTTTATTCACTGTACAAGTAGTCCACATTTTAGTCAGGCAAATGGTCAGGTTGAGAGGGGAGTCCAGATTTTGAAGCGTATTTTGTGTCAGGAAGATCCTTACCTAGCTTTATTAACTTATCGCGCTACGCCTCACTTGCGACTGGAGCATCGCCAGCTCAATTGCTTATGGGTAGGCAAATCAAATCTACAGTCCCTACACTGCCTAGCAATCTCAACCCGAAATGGCCCAATCTCAGATAGGTTGCCTTAAATGACAAGACTGCTAAGAATATGTACAAAACCAATTATGACAAACATCATGGAGTGAGACCTTTGACTGAACTAGTACCGGGTTCACAAGTTTTATTGAAAACTGACCAGGAAAAGGGATGGAAAACAAGAGGTGTTGTCAAATGTAAACATAGTTCACCTAGGTCATATATTGTTGAGACTCCTAAGGGAACTTACAGACGTAACAGGCGTCACATAATGGCAATTCCAAGTCCCAGTAATAAAAGTCCCAGTGTAAATGGTCCTATGGTCAGAAGTGCCAGTACATTTAGTCCCAAACCAGTCTTATACCACAGATCCAGAAGTCCAAGTCCACATAATGATGATAATCTGATTTACAAATTTTGTAAGTCAAAACCAATTTTACATAACAGTGACACAAATCAGGGTCCATCAGAACAGATTGGTATATCAAGTCCAGTAGTTCACAAACCTGTAGATGTGTCTATGGATAGTCAAAACAATACAAGTGTGTATCGTGACACTAAAGATAGTGCACAGTATACTGTTCCCAGTACCACTATGTCACCCAGACATAATACAGTACCTACTCAGAGAGTCATTCAGACTAGATCAAAGTCAGGACTAGAGGTTAACAAACCAGCCAGATATGCTAATTGATTGACATTATGTTATGATGAACATGCTTCAGATTAAGAGTTATGATTTGATATAATGCAGTATGTTGCATTTGAAATATGATTTGACATAATGCAGTGTGTTGCATTTTAATCATCGATATGTTTATTATACTTCAGAGTGACTTGACACTACAGCATATTATGCAGTGCGATGCATTGATATAAAGACTGTTCAACTGTGTTTATATAAATGTGCTTTTGTATTATTCATGCTTGATAGACTCTTGAGTTTTCACACATACTTAAAAAGGGGAGATGTCATATTATTGATATATATGTATATGCTCCATACAGGTGAGAGTTCCCCGGGAATAAGTTGATGTACTGTGTAATCATTTCGTCCAGTGTAATTTATACATTGGATTACGTCATGAATAAATAATCAGTTTAGAACTCAAATATTGTTATGTAAAGTTGACACAATTGAAAAATGCACAAGTATACGAGGGTCTTCCAACAGCTTGATATTATTGCTTTAACATGGATTGTATCTAATTTTATGAAACAAATTAAAGGCCTAATTTACAAGATTATTCAAAGTGTTGTTCTGGTAACCTAGAGGATACAGGCAGTTGCAAATGTTTGTTGTAATATGACACATTTTAGTGAACAAAGTATTAAAAAATGATAGAATGCTCAAACTTTTTGGATAGCCCTCATATAATTCCATCTAAAGAATGAACGACATTACGGGGAAAGCGTGCACGATCTCACGACCTCTAGAATACACCGTCTTCGCCTAGGTTGACATATCCAACGGGGGGTGATAATTCATAAAGAACGAATTCATAAAGATAGGTTCTTGTATTAGTAGTAGTACCTTGCAAGATCGTCCATTCTTAATGAGCTTTGAGTCGAAGACGAGATAAAGGAACATTATCAAAGTGAGTCAAGAATGGACGATATTGCAAAGGAAAGAGGACAGGAACGTTTTTTTTTTCATATGACTCTTCTATTATGCGATATTTTACCTTTTTATGGTAAAACTGAGTGTAAAATAGCTTCAAATTAACGGAACTCCATCTTTCAATTGTTATGACGTCATAAAAATATTGTAGAAAATACATAGATACGCATGGCAACAATGCTCCATTGTTATGACGTCACAGCTTATATTTGTAGAACGAGTATAGGTACTCATATCAACGGTGTATCTGTTGCTATGTTGTCGATGTTTATAAACCAGTGTCCAAGTAAATCTTATCTTGCACGTGTGATGGCAATTTATCCCATACTTGGACGTGTAACAGATACATAAAGCCGGTTTTGTAGAGACTTATATTTTCATCGGCGGGCAGATATAGAGGATATCCTATGATTTATGAGTGATATGATTTTTATCCACGAATGGATATGATATCTGCACTATTTGTAAAATCAACCAGAATGTTGTTTGTATAACTATAATATTGAGAGGTCTAAGAAAATGTTGTATGTGCTATTTTGTTCCAACAAGGTTCGGAAAGACATTTTATTTCATTCTCAAGAATTGGTAGAAGGGAACAAAAACAATTGCACTAAAATATCCATGAGTGGATTAAAATCATATCACGAGTAAATCATAGGATGTGCTTTTTATTCCATAGTTAAAGTCAACATCATAATCGTCGGAAGTGAATTTTCGAATTTTCCAAACGATCCGGCGGTGTTGACACTTAGCCTCGTTTTGAGTCTGAAGTAGCAAAAATCCATAATTCATAGCATACGGCGCCGTATGTCATGGCCTAAACACCGTATGCTATGGTTAAGCGAAAATTTGTCAAAAATATCATATTTTACCACTGATTACAAAAATACCGTTTTTATTTTGTCTTTTTATCCCATGAATATCATGCTAACTATGGAATAAATAGCTTTACGTCCCGCTCCGAGTACGTCATAATCGCTGTTCCCGTATTGGTTCTTTTTGTAACGTTCGCATACTGTAAATGACAATGGAGAAAAACGCAGACAATCGCGATCTGTTTGATGCTTTAAAGAAGGGAAGGAGCAGTATGCCCCATTAATAATCAAAGATTTGAACAAGAAAATCCGGCTACGGACAAGAATACAAAACTGGACATGAATATTTTTAAATAATTCCACGGTTGGTTGCAAAGTTTCTGAACTGTGGCCAATTGAACAGTGTGATTGGTATGGGATAGATAGATCATCCTATAGTCGGTTCAGGATATTTGGATTATCCCTTGGCCAATATATTTATATTGGCCTCGGGATAATCCAAATATCCTGAACCTCATGTAGGATAATCTCTATACCTTGCATGGGGTAAAGATGGCCGTATCTTTGTTAGTCATATGGGAAAACACCATACGGACTAATGCTACATTCAAAACATTGTCGCTTACTCATTGGGACATACCAGATTAATTGCCACGGTAGATGCAAAGTATTTCTCTCGGAGAATTCCTGCATTGTTCACCAGTATGTCGACAGCTCTGCCAGTTGTCTCTTGTACAGCACCAAACAAAGCTAAAATATTAAAACCTGATATTCTGTGCTGTACATTTATTTCGTAAGTTCACATTGACTTACTCTAACTAGTTCAATAAGTGCGATGACACATTTACCATGTCCGAATATCAAACTAAGTCAACCATTGCAATATGATTATACGAACCTCTAATATCAGCATCCTTCGTCACATCACATTCTTTAAAGAATATCTTATCACCATATGCTTCAGCGAGTTCCTTTACAGTTACTTCTCCAATTGCCTTATTTATGTCAGCGATGCAGACCTGTTTAATAAATACAATTTAATTGTAAAATCTAAGCTAAATGTTCGTGAAAAGAGGGAAGCATATACTGTTTAAAAAATTCCCTATCCCTCGTGCCTGTGGAACAATAAACTCATCTACTAGCATGTACTTTAATCGTATCATTTAGTAATTTTTTGCTCACAATATTAAAGTGATATTTGACGTTTGTTTTGAAAATATTGCAAAAGTTAATAGACAGTTTAAAAACTGTGCAATCTATTTATAAAAAAATCCATATGGAAGTTAACATAAAATTGTTTTTTATTTGATTTACTTTCCTTGTTAACTATAGTATTTAAGCAATGAGGTGTGACCAGAGCAAAATGATCGTAACAATTGAAAACGTATGGTTTACGTTTGTTGCTAAAGTAGGGTTTATATCGAGGGGCGGATATTAAAGTGATTTAGTTCTGTGCCAAGTTGCTAACTCCAACTTCGTTAATTATGTCAAACGTCAAAAAGTGTCCATTGAACTGATCAATTAAATTGCCTATGTTGCCTCTGTCATCAGGTTCTTGATTTTGTCACCAGGTTATTGCTAAAGATTATTATCTTTTTTAATTTGATACTTCTAATTCCTCTTCCATTCTCATTTTACAACCACTTATTATCAATGGTGTATTTATACAGCAGTGAAAGTGATGCTATATTCATTTGTGGTGATTTCAATGTCAGAATTGGAAATGTGATGGATTCAACAGATGGCATTGATGAAGTTGATGGAAGGAGTTGTCTGGACAATGTTGTGAATACTCATGGCTATAGTTTAATTGAATTTCTTAATTTCTTAAATTTATTAAGATGGCTTTTGTGCGGAGAAGGCAATTCATTTACAACCTGTGATATTGATTTTCGTGTATTAATTTTGTATTTCTTATTGTTAACATTGGTTAATAAGCCAGAGGTGGGCACGTTAAAATTGTAGTTAATTGTTTTATGTTTTATAATTGAATTGTAAGCCTGACCACTATAAATAAATAAATAAACTAAAACTAAACTATAATACATTAAATCTTATATTTTCGATGTTTCTGGCTACACATTTTTGTTGTATTTGCCAAGTTTTTCATAACGTAAATGGCTTGCTGTTTCGTCTCACTTCACCAAACTTACTACTAGGCTTATGACTGTGATTGAGCGTGGCAACCGACGATGTATTACCATCATCTAGGATTCACCCGAGCCATCATTTAAAACTGTAAAAACTGTAATTATGGTGTCATTACTTAGATAACATTTAAATCAGCCAGGTCCCATCACTTAATCCAGAACAGGAATAAACCCCTTCATTTTTCCCCATGTGCCTTATTATCACTGGTCGACAACTGGAGTTAGAATCATCAAAATGCGGACAAAATGTGTTCGAATTCGATTTTAGTTCGTCCAAGTAAGATCTACATGTATACTAGAATTGGTATTCCGATTTTTTGTCAAAATTTAAACAAGTTGTAAAAATGCAAAGATAACCTAGTTTTTCTAATCCTGACCTAACGATTTAATAGCATACTCAGTATCTCGATATATAGGCTACATACAGTTTAGAACAAAATAAATGACAGGTGGATTTTCTATCACCATATCCAAACCATGGTGTTTTGAAAGCTCCATAGTCTCAAATATTGGCTACATACATATCTCTTAAAAGGAATGATATCGATATGGTGAATTTTTTGGACACGCATTTTTCTTAAACCAGTCATCAAAACAATCTGAAGTTTTTACACATCGTAAATTTAATGATAATCTTTGGGATGGTAACATTATAATTTGAAATATATATAAATGATTTTTTCTATATCGTTTTAGAAAACACATCAGCCACTCATTTTGTTATTGGTATCATAATGTTCGGAAGAAAATGAAACATCTATTCGAACCTCATTGGAACAAAACGACATAAACATAACGTGTTTAGGTCTCTAAATATTGTAATTGTACAAAGGAAAGTTTGGTTGATTTTAAAAAAGTATCTTGTTAATGAAATAAAAGGTTTATCTTCAGTTTTATCTATTTTGGGGGGTTTTGTTTTAAGTTTTTGCATACTTTTTGTTAAATCAACCAACATTTCCTCTGTATAACAATAATATTGAGAGGTCCAAGAAAATATTATATATATTATATTTTGTTCCAACAAGCTTCGGGAAGACATTACATTTTATTTCATTCAGAAAGGAACAAAAACAATTGCACTAAAAAAACAAAAAAAATGTTAACAAAAACAGTTATATAAAATATATATATATATATTTTTTGAATTAAATTGTTGTCAAACAGTCAACATAAAATAAAGGACAGTGTTTTTACAGAATGTTTTCAATAATTGGTTTAAGAGAAAAACATTGTTGAATTCAATTCACCATATCGATACCTATTCTTTGTATATTTTACATTTTGTATACTGTCATCCACTGATGTTTGACCTCTTGAAAATTCTCTTATTTTTAACATGGGAAATCCTTACTTCAGCAAATCCATGTGTCATTAGTTTTGTTCCCAACTGTAAAGTGAAGACCGTTACACCCTCTTCGGTTAATGATATTTGTAACGGACTAGGGATTGTGTACGCTGAAATGTCATTTTTTATAAAAATAAAATTGCAGTTAAGATAAGTTCACACCAACGGCGCTTTGATAGCCCTCTTTAAAGCGCCGTGCACGCCGCTTTAAAGCGCCATCAAGGCGCCCTTGGTGTGAACTTAACTTAATGCCTTGGTCACATTTGCTCCGAATGTCCTAACTTTTGTATATTCCAGATAGTTATGTATAATGTGTAGCAAAGCTGTGGCTTTTTTGTAATTAAAGCTTAGTTCACACCAGCGCTTTGATGGTCCTTTAAAGCGGCGTGCAAATCCGCTTCGAACGGCGCTTTAAAGCGCCATCGATGCGCCGTTGGTGTGAACTTAGCTTTATGGAGTTTCAGCCATGCTATTTTTTCAAAAATAACATGGCAGAGAAGCATCAAAATATAAGAGGCCACAGATATGATAGCTAAACTACAAAAAAAAATAAAATATACAAAACTGTATAAATGTTTCTATTTTTACATATACTGTTTCAATATGGTCCTTTGATTGCTTATTTTTTAAATTCAAAGTAGTTCCAAACATTTAAAATGTTACTGTTGCTCAATCAATTTTGTGTGATTAAATGCACTCGTTTATGGAATGTGAAACGTTGAATTTGGGCTACCATCCTCGTTTTATAAGTTGGAGGCTCGTCCTTAAAATTATACTCATTGAATATTAGGTTCAAATCATGAATCCCTTCATAACTCTATAAATGATGGTCAGTTTTACGATCAATTCAAATATAAACTTACATTTGCACCTCTCTGCAGCAGAGCCTCTACGATAGCTTTGCCAACTCCTTGGGCTCCCCCAGTCACAACTGCAACGCTTCCATCAATTTTCATTTTTAATGAAATCTTTCAAACGTCCTATATCTTAAGTCAAAATTTTGGGCCGTCGACCAACTGAGACGCTGACTATCTAACTCAAAACTTTAGTTCGATTTGGACATCACCTTTGAGCAGTTGTAAATTGAATTAGGTTTACCCAATTATGTTTCAAAAGCGGTAGTCATACATGATTTAACAGGTCAAACAGGATTTGATTGGTCTTTCAGTTTTAAATCAATAGTAATATCGGCCTGAAGTCGAGTACGATTAAATCAGATTACTATTCAAAGTGACATCTAGCGTCAAGTGAATGTAGTTACTCATAAGCTTGTTTAAAAAGTGGGGCTATGCAGTGATAGGTTGCAAGACAGTGAATACTATACTGTAGGTTTCTATAGGACTTTGTTTGAATTTGTTTGAAAGATTCTATCTGAATTTCCTTCCCACCCCAACCCTGTTCGTTCTTAGTTGTACCAGTTATGCCGTCTTGTTATTTTAACGTATGGTTTCCTTGCCAATCCTAAGTCGGTGCTTGTAAAAATACAGGGTGACTCCAAAACAGAACGTTCTAAAAGTGTTATAATTTCCTAAATACCCAATCTACTAACCCGATTTGTATGACTTGTGCATTACCTAGAATCTTTGGATGATAATATGATATCAAGTTGGCTTACACAAATTAGATTATGTGATATCATGGATGATGCTAGCATGTGTCCAATTTATGGAAAATCAACAGTGTGACAAAATCATATTAGTGCAGTCAGTTAGGTTTTTAATTCCACATGCTATATATAAAGCACCGTTTTTTGACAGATGTATCATTAATACATATATTTTTGATATACAACTTCACAGCTAAATATATTAAAAATAAGAAATTTTTAGAAATGTGCCTGTTTGATTTATTTTAAGTCAATATATCAACTATAGAAATCTACAATATTAGAAAATTTCATAGTAGACTTTTTGAGAAAGGGACACTTTAATAAAACCATATTGATAGCGCTTTATAATGGCAGTCAATGGGGATTTCTCCAAAATTCAAACTTAAATATCTTTGGAACTAGGCAAAAGAAAAAACAACCCTTCTTATTTTGGAGATAATCATGTTATTGTAAAATGCTAGGAATAAGGGCTTTATTTCTCTAGAACTGTTCTGCAGGGTGCCTTTTGAAGATTGATAAATTAACATGGGGCTCAATATAGTTTTTATAGTGTTTGTACTCAAGTGAGTATATTATGATATATTCACGAGTGACCGAACGGAACGAGTGAATATAGCATATACTCACGAGAGTATAGCGATATACAGAATCAACCATTATATGATCTTATTATCCCACCCTAAGTGCTTTATAAAAAGTCGAAGAGTTGTATACGCTGTCTGGGAGTTGTATACGCTCTCCAGGAGTTGTATAATCTTTCTCAAGAGTTGTATACGATGGGTGTTGGATTTATATTACAGTTATACAATGCTATTATACAATCATATAAAGCACTTAGGGTGGAATAATGTTGATTATAAAATAATTTATTTTAGTTGCATTTGTGTAAATGTGGACTTAGATAATGCATACAAAATGTAACAACATTGATATATCTTTAATTCAGAATATATTATCATAAATAACAATAAAAAAATTAAAAAAATATATAGTTTTTTATACAACTTCACGGCTAAAATACATTAAATATAAGAAATGTTTAGAAATGTGCCTGTTTGATTTCTTTTAAGTCAATATATTAACTCTAGAAATCTACGATATTAGAAAATTTCATAGTAGACTTTTTGAGAAAGGGACACTTTAATAAAAACCATATTGATAGCGGTTTATAATGGTAGTCAATGGGGATTTTCCAAAATTCAAATGCCAATATCTTTGGAACAAGGCAAAATAAAAAACAACCCCTCTGATTTTGAAGATAATCATGTTATTGTAAGAAACTAGGAAAATGGGCTTTATTACTTTAGAACTGTTTTGCAGGGGGTCTTTTGTAAATGTGCAAAATGTTCGAAGCCTGCTATCATCAACTGGTAGGACTTTTCAACACAACTTCGTTAGATATCAAAAATATATGTACCAAATATACTTTGGTCAAAAAATGGTGCTTTATATATAGCTTGTGCAATTCTATGGTTTTATTGACCTAACTGACTGCACTATATCTTAAGATTTATAAAAGAATTCAGAAGAAAATTGCAACGAAGGCGTCAAATGAAAGTCTCATTCATTATTTATAACATTCCATTGGATTAATTCTCAAGAAACCACCAAGAGAGTAGAATGATCAGTCAAGAGCATGTGATTTCAAAGTCAAATATTTGAAAATGAGTTGAAAGAGGAAAGAAAGAGAACTGTAAACACCTGAATGGAAAAAAGGATCAGTTCGCACTTATCTAGGGAGGTTTCTAGGAAGGGGTAAATGAGAACCTGAAAACATTGGGGTATATGCATAGGACGCAGTTCCAGGGTAGCACTCAGAATGTGCCTAATGATGGCTATAAGGTGGCTGGGATAATTCCTCATTAATGATATCTACCTTATACTCACAAAATGCAGCTTGACAAGAAACTAAAAGAATGTGATGGTTTTAAACAAACGACGCGTAACCTTTTGGTTGAACGAAAATCTTACATTTTCTTTTTTCAAAATTGTGTACGTTTTTAATTGACCATAACAACAATAATATTGAACATTATATTTCAAATTTGGTCTCACTTTGTCATACATAGATTGTAGTCTCTGAACATGAAAAATGAAGCTGATTACATAATATGTATTAGAGAAAATATTTCATTTTCGGAGGGTTCCGTTTTTTGGGGAGTCACCCTGTAGATATACATTAATAATGTATACTGAAGTTAACAAAAGAGCCAACAAAAGTTCTGAAAAGCAACCCTAATGTTTTGATTAAGAAACCTCTATTCTTACTTTTGAAATATGTTCTAGTTATACTATCAAACATGAATCTACTTGTTGAGACTGGTAATGTTGCCATTATATTGAAAACTTCAACTTTCTTATAAACAATTTGAAAACCATTAAATTGTGAGGAGGTGAGTACCACATAATTTAACATAATAGTGATAACCAATGAGTTCTAAAGGCTCTCCATAAACGTTTTAGCTTTTGTTTCGGAACCACTTTTTCAATACAACAAAACAGTAGCATATAGACATACGTAACTTGATTTATTTATACAATTTAAGGCAAATCCCTTTGAGTTTATTTAGTTTAAACAGGGTGGTGTTTTAGGAGCAAACTTGTTTTTTAAATCTAGTTTGTAAATTCATTGAAATATACTTTCTTTGGATTTAACTATATACTTAGCTACTAGGAAACAATTGTTTGGCAATTTATTGATTTATTTTAGCTATGATCGAATCAGGTATGAGCATATGAAAGTTATTGAGGGTGTGATCAAGGGTCTAATTTTTTATAAATGTTGTAAATGTTGATATGATTATTTTGTTTAAATACATCTGCACAATGGATATGCATTTAATTTAAAGAAAAACATAGCATTATATAAAATATATACCTGGAAAATATTTAGACAAACCGAAAGAGTTCAAGACCAATCAATTTAACTCCAATGCCTGCAGGGTGGGTAGGGTCAAATTGACCCTCTCGGCTTTTTATTAGTACTTTTGTGCATTCTTCTAGCTTGCGATTTTTTATATATTTTCCAAAAAATCAATAATTATACTATGTCATTGGCTAGGCTCAAAGAGCATTATTAGCCAAAGGATAAAGATGCAAATTGTTGCATAAAGTAAAAGTTATTGAGGGTAGGGGTGTAACGTTATGGCAGTTTGGAGTTGATATCAAGTTAAAATAAAATCATAAGATATCAATAGTTACCTTGTTTCTAGCACTGTGATTGTTATTGTTCTGTTCGATGAAGGGCCATTAAGGATATTGCATTTTCTTTTCCACCTGTCATATTTCATAAATATTGGGCCTATATTGGACAAGCTCATGAATTTCTAAAGCTTAATAAAATACAGATAATCATCAAGAAATTGCAAATAACATCTGCTTTACAAAATAATTTTTTTTCCAAAAGCTTATTGATGCATACCCGTGAATTGTCGTACACATTCCTCAATAGTTGTACAAGCTGATGTAACAATTGTATGATGGTGATGATCTGATCAGAATTATAGATTCTACTGTCTTGTTCTCATCGCCCCAATTTTTGGGTTACACTTGACTGTGACAATGAATGTCAGAAATATTAGGCACACGCCCTTAAAAAGAATGTGCAGAAAATAAATGCTGTTGAAATAAATGTCTGAGGGCAGTGAACGCAACCTTAAAAACAAATGTTCTTAATGGCTCTGAAAAAATGTCAGAAATGTAAGCCACACGACTTAAAAAATAACGTTTATAAAAATGAGTGTCAGAAACGCTAGACACACAAACTTAAATGCAATGCTCAGGAAATAAATGTCTGAAATGATAGGCATACGTGCAGACAATGCTCAAAAAATAAATGACTGAAATGATAGGCATACGTGCAGACAATGCTCAGAAAATAAATGAATGAAATGCTAGGCATAGGTGCAGACAATGCTCAAAAATAAATGACTGAAATGCTAGGCATACGTGCAGACAAACCTCAGAAAATAAATGTCTGAAATGCTAGGCATACGTGCAGACAATGCTCAAAAAATAAATGACTGAAATGCTAGGCATACGTGCAGACAATGCACAGAAAATAAATGTTTGCAATGTTAGGCATACGTGCAGACAATGCTCAGAAAATAAATGTCTGCAATGTTAGGCTGTCGCCTTAAAAATCAGAAATTGGTCTGCCACAATTGTTAGAAACCCCAGGCACACAATCCAACAAATGTGAAAAAAGGCCGGGACACATAAATGTCAGAAATACTAGAACAACCCTGAAAAACCAAGTGTGCAGAAAATGCTGTAGCAATAAATGTCAGAAATTACAAGCACACAACCTTTAAAATGTACAGAAAAGGCTGTGGCGGTAAATTTCAGAAATGCAAAGTACACTATTTTGAAAAATTAAACTGCAATCTTGAAGCTAGACAAAGTTTGAAACTGCTTTAGTTTGTTGGAAGTTTTATTCCAAATATTAATGCTAGCTTTCAAAACAGAAGAATTTTTTCAGAGCAT